AGGCGGATGATGCGGATGACGCGGAGGAGGCTGAGGCGGAGGCGGCGAAGGAGGAGGAGGAGGAGGAGGAAGAGGCGAAGGAGGAGGAGGAGGAGGTGGAGGAGGAGGAGGAAGGCCATAGGGGGCCCTCAGAGGTCCCCACAGGTCCCCGAGTCACCCCTGAAACGCCTTCGTGGTCCCGGCGAAGGCCTGAGAGGGCTCCCCGATAGTATCCCGCCGCGAGTAGGAGGGCGAGCAGCTGCCGCCGTGCGCAGTGGCGGTCCCGGCGGAATCCGCCGACGGCGAGGGCGGCCGGCCGGCGCTGGGCACCCCGAGCACCGCGGCGGCGTTTTCACAGGAGCGGCCCGGCGCCGAGGTCCTCCCTTCTCCCCCCCTCCCTCCCTCCTCTGTCCTCCTATGTCGTTCTACTCCTCCATTCCTTTTCTCCCCTCCATTCCTTTTCTCCTCCTCTTCTCCTCCTCCTCACCTAACTTGTTGTTGATCTACGCCGTGCTCCTCCTCCTCCCCCTTCCATTCCTTGTTCTTATAGAAAACTCCTCCCTGGCACCCCGAGACGTGTCGGCAGGGCGGGCAAGGCGTTCGGCTCATACCTCGTCACCCTTGATGCTCCTGAGGCCAAAAGTTTGGAGCAGTTTCGCGGATGGAGGGCGGTTCGGTTTGAAGGTGTTGCTCTCGCCTGGCTGCCGCGCACATGTGCCTCGCAGTTTTGCAACAGCTTCACGAATGGAGGGTGGTTCCTTTTCAAAGAGTGGCTCTCGCTTTCAGGCCGTGCGCATTCGCCCAAGAAGCTTACAACAGTTTCACGGATGGAGGGGCGGTTCCTTTTCGAACTGTGACTCTCGCCTTAGCGCTGCGCACATTCGTCTTCAAAGTGTGCAAGGGTATCACGGATTGAGGGCGGCGCTGGTTCAAACGGTGTTTTCAAATCAAACAGTTTTTCACAGTTTTGCGCATTCTTATTGTTGACGCCTGGGGGATTTTCTTTTAGCGCGGCGTTGGTTCGCGGTGTTGAAGTCCTAGGAATGGTGCTCTGGCTCGATGCAGGTTCGTCATTTCGCGATGCTGGGGTCGAAGGACTGGTGTGTTGGCACGATTGAGGATTCTCAGACGGTTGTCTTCCAACTGGAAGAGGTTTCCAGCAGTGAAAATCATGTCTTCTACGGGCCTGTGAGGAGGGAGCTTGGAGGGAGGGTGCATTGCAACATCGTTGATACGTCTTAGGTTTGTATTGGTCTTCTGTCCTCCTCCTCCTCCTGTGTCCTCCTTCTTCTCATCTATGATTATAGTGGCCTCCGGCCAGTGCCGCCGATCCGGGGCGCTCCTGATGCTATTGTTGTTGAAATGGACGATGACGACGACAACGGAAGACCAACGGTCGCCGAGCGGGATAATTACGACGACGACAGACCGACCGACGAAGGTAAATAATTACGACGACGACCGACGACGACGACGGACCGACGACGAGACGACGACGACGACGACGACGGACGACCGACGACGACGACGACGACGACGACGACGACGACGACGACGACGACGACGACGACGACGACGACGACGACGACGACGACGACGACGACGACGACGACGACGACGACGACGACGACGACGACGACGACGACGACGAACGACGACGACGACGGCTGCCGACGGCCGACGACCGACGACTGGTGACGGCGACGGATGGAAGGTTCTTCGTTCATCGCTTTCGCTTCCGAGCAATACCAAGTCAGGCCGTGCACCTCTGGCCTGGCAGCGCGCGAGTGAGCGCCTCTTGGGGCCTCTTGGTTCTTGGGGCTTCTTGGGGGCCTTTGGGGCCTCTTGGGGGCTTCTCGGGGTCCTCTTGGGGGCCTCTTGGGGACCTCGTGGGGGCCTCTGGGGGCCCCTTGGGGGCGCCTCGGGGGCATCTTGGGGACTCTTGGGGTCATCTTGGGGTGGAGGACTAGAAGGGTCCGTTCGGGTTCACCCTCTTGAGGCCATCTTGGGGGCCTCTCGGGGTCGTCTTGGGGGGCCTCCAGGGCTATATTGGGGCCCTCTTGGACCGTCTTGGCTCCTCTTGGGGGCCTCTTGGGCTGTCTTGGGGCGATCTTGGGGGCCTCTTGGACCGTCTTCGGCGCTTCTAAGACGGAAAAGGCGATAATGTTAAAATGCTTCAAAACCTATTCGCAACTTTATTATTGTACCCTCTTGGGGCCCTCTTGGGGTCCTCTTGGGATCTCCTTGAGGCGTCTTGGAGGCCTCTTGGGCCGTCTTCAGGCCATCTTGGGCGTCCAGGAGCGCTCTTGGGCCGTTTCGGGCGCCTCCTGGACCGTCTTGGTGGCCTCCTGGGCCCCTTTTGGCCCGTCTTGGGGCGGTTTGGGATTCCCGGGGGGGGGGGTGGAGAAAGCGTGGACCCGATGAACCCCCCCCCTCCCCCCCTACCCCGGCAGAGCCACCCCGGCCCCCCCCAGCAGAGCTGAAGCTCAGGTTGTAGCTTTCTTAAACTCACACGCCGGATCGGCGGATTTCTGAGCTCCTGAGGCGTAGAGAGCGTTTTTAGGCTTATGTTGGCCACAGTCGTGACAATCGTTTCGACCGCAGCCGGCTTGTGTCAGATGTGCGCGCAGTGGAAAAGAGTTCGCGATTCTTATTTCCTTTTTCGTGTTCTTCAGTTGGTAGCAGAACCGCGGTTCTCCCCACAGTAGCTGCGCACCCGCTACAGTGTCAGTTTTCCTGCCGCCATGCCAGCAGGAGCTAAGGGTGAGCCCGACGATGATGAAGATGGAGAGCCCACGCGAGTACGAACACGAGTGGATCGGGATCCGCCACCGCCCGTCACGGAGCCAACGGACGATTACCTCCACCGACACTCCAGGAGGGACTTGCTGATCTGGCAAGCCAACACAGCGATTGAGGACAAGAAGATCGGTGGCGTGGTTCTTCGGAATCTGAGGGGCCCAACTCGATTCGCATGTGAAGGACATCGTCGACGAAGCCCTGTCGGGCGAGAGCGCGGTCGAGATGATACTACAGGCCTTGGACAATGCGTTTTAGTACTTAAAGGAAGAGGAGATTCCCGAGGCGTTCGAGAAAGTTCTCTACACGTGTGTACGCGACCCCAAAAAATGAGAGGTTCACCGCGTTCGTGAATAGAAGGAGGCGCGAGTTCATTGCACTCGAGAGGCTGGATGTTATGTTGCCGAACGCGCTCAAAGGCTACGCCGTGTTAAGATTCGCATGGCTCGACGAGAGGTCCTGCGACAGGGTGATCAGTTGGGTCGATGGCGGCTGCAACTTCGAGCAGATTGCAAAGGCGCTCGTTCGACTGGACCGACCCGATCGCCGAGCTGGACTACCGCGACCGACAACACGATTAGCATCGCTCGCGCTCTCCGGGGACAGCGACGACCACAATGCAGCGCCGCCGCTGCCGGTCGACATGGCCACAACGGACACGACGGACGAGTTCGGCTCGTTCGCGATAGAGGTGATTCGCTACGAAGACGCCGGCTGCCACGACGGTGAGGGCACGCTACAAATCCCAGGTCCGGAGGCGATCGAGGTCGTGTGCTACCTCGACGTAGAGTGGCTCGACGGCGTGATCGAGGAAGAGGACGTGCCAGGGATTTGTTTGGATATGCGCTTGGAGATGACCCAGTGGAGTACAAGAGAACTCCACAACCAGCTGAACGATGCACGCAAGGCAAGAGGAGTCCTCAAGCCAAGGGCAGCGGCAAGCACGGATAGGACAAGCCGGACAAAGGCAATGGCGAGGGCAAGCACAGTCAACGACGCCGCATTTCAATCGACCAGCTTAAGCTCGGGACGACGTGCGCCAAGTGCAAGCAGGTTGGTCATTGGGCGCGCGAGTGCCCTCATAATCGCCAACAGCAACGGCCCGCCCTTGGAGGTTTCACTGTGCGCAATGCGGCAGGCGGCGACGACGCTAACCAGACGTTCAGCATCGATGAGCCGAGGCCGGCTGCTTCGACGGGAGGTGCCGTGGGGTTCTTTATCGGACTGATCGACATGTCCATCGGGCTCGCCATCAACGCGCGGGGGGTCCTCGTGGACACAGGCGCTCAGGAGGGCATCGTAGGCGTGGGGCAGCTGGAGGGGCTCGCTGTCAATCTCAAGGAGCTTGGTCTCCAACCGCGGTGGGTGCCAGACGACGGGCCTCCGCCTCATGGTATCGGGGGCGACGCAAAGGTCATTGGATGTGGAGGTTCCGCTGGGCATTGCAGGCGTGAGCGGAACTGTATCGTTCCGTGTTCTTGATGAGGAGGTGCCTGCGCTGCTACCAGTCGGTCTCGCTCTCACCAAGGCGATGGGGATGGGTCTTAAGCTGCGCGGATCTGGCGATCAAGCGTTTTTCCACAAGCTCGGTGCTGTCGCAAAGCTGCGAACTATCAGACAGAATGGCTACGCGGCCATCGGCGTCGTCGAGATCGCCCCCGGTGGATGGTGCGCGCCAGGATCTGAACGAGAAAAGGGAACGTCCTTGGCCGTCGTGGACGCGCCGCCACCGCCGACGCCACCGCCGACGCCGCCGCCGTCATCGATGGCACCGCCAGCGCCATCGAGTTCAGTTGAGACACCATCAACGGCATCGCAGATGCCATCTACCTCATCACGTATACAACTACAGCATCAGGGATACTATCCAGAGCATCACATGTGGCAACGACAGCATCCCATAATGCTACTACAGAGCCGACAGAGCAGGTAACCGCAACGAGACCAAACAGAAGCAAGGTAGACACGATCAACAAAAAATCCCATTGACCCCGAAGGTATGACTCCCCGGAGCCATCAGTGTTCAACTCTCAGTGTTTCGGCAGAGGCCGTCGGGTCGGCGTCTCCATGTCCTCGCAGTCCAGACCTCCGAGATCCGTGGAGGCGCCCATATCCATAGCGACGCCCTATGCCGAGTCTCGTGGGTCAGGCTTTCGACCAGCGCGAGGGCCCGGTGATGGGCGGCAGGAAGAGCAAGGGCCGAAAGAGACGAGCGATGGCAGCCTGGTATCGGGTCCTGCGAAGGTCTATCATGGTAATCGAAACTGCCTTCTCCGAGCCCTTGTGCTCGGCTCTCTTGTGTGTGGCTGGCATCGGATGTGGGCGGGGTCTTCGACCGACGAGGAAGCCCCCGCGTCCTTCGCGAAGGGCAAGCGCCTGGCCGACACCGAGCGCAAGGGTATCAAGCCGACCTTCAAGCCAGAGGAGTGCGACCGCCCAGAGGAGATGTCGAAACCGGGAGGCAACCACAATGGCTACTACGAAGTGTGCATGAAATGCGGAGCGCGTTGGGGGCGCCTTCCACACTGCCGCAGCAAGCAGATCAGAGTCGAGAACCACGAGGGCACGATGCGCGCT